AATTTGGTTTTTAAGGGGGTTGCAGGCCGACACGCCATCTTCGCTTCGGCCTTCCATCCGGAGAAGCCTGCTTTCGAGTGGCCCAAGAAGCAAAGGGTTTAGGGTTTAGGGTTTGCGTTAGGGTTGGTGTTTAGGGTTCAGGGGTTTAGGGTCGCAGTGTTGCCGAGCGCCCGGTTGGGCTTCAATCCTGCCAACCCAGACGAACACACCCCGAAACCCTAAACCTTGAGCCTTGAGCCCTCATCTCTTCAGGTGGGGCCTCCATCGCACCGGCCTCCTCCAGAACACCCAAATCCCGCATTCGCGTCGGGCGGCGTGGGCTGCATCAGCCTGACGTTTCCGGTGTGTAGGGTTTAGGGTTTAGGGTTTAGGGTTTAGGGTTTAGGGTTTAGGGTTTAGGGTTTAGGGTTTAGGGTTTAGGGTTTAGGGTTTAGGGTTGGGGTCCAAGGGCTTTTGGGGTTTGGGGTTTAGGGTTAGGCCCCATTTTTTTTTTGAATGGGATGTTCAGGCTTCACCTCCCGAATCCGAGGGGCTTGCTTTCTTTCCCTTCTGTCCCTGGGCACCTGGGAAGACTAAGGGCGAGTCTGCATGCGAAAGCAGAAGAGAAAGAGAGTACCCCCCCATACCCTAGGCCCCACACCCTAAACCCTAAACCCCAAACCCTAAACCGTAAACCCTAGACGTGCTGGGGCCTTTTGAAGCTTCCATTCTGCAGTTCGAAGCGACCCTTCACATACTCCACGACAGTAGCGTTTCAGGCTTGTTGCTTCGGTGGGTTTAGGGTTTAGGGTTTAGGGTTTAGGGCTTAGGGTACCCTCTTTCTCTTCTTCTGGATCAGAAGAGCTCGCGCCGCCTCATCGGCCCAAAATCTTCCAAGCCTCAACCACCCTAAGTTAAGCTTTGAGCTCCAAAACCCTGAACGCTTAAGGTTCAGGGTTTAGGGTTTAGGGTTTAGGGTTTTGGGTTTAGTGTTCAGGGCTTAGGGCCTAAAACCCCTAAGGCCCCTAAAGCCCAAGCCGCTGGACTTACTGTTGAAGCCCAAAGGACAGAATCGGCCCTAGCCCTGACAATCCATATTTCTGAAGCACCAAGCCGCAAGCCTACGCCATCCTAGACCTCAAAAGACCGAAGGTTCAAAGCCCACTCTAAACCCCAGACCCCTAAATCCCTCTACCGCCAATACTATTGAACCAGCCGACGCCCGTCACCCCATGCACCCTAAACCCCAACCCTGTAAGACCCTTACCCTAAACCCCAAGCCCTAAACCTTAAATCCTAAACCCTAAACCCTAAACCCTAAACCCCAAACAAACCCGAAACCCCAAGAAATCCCGAGACCCCAAATCAACCGAAGAGCTCCCATCCCAGGCCATCCTTGTCAACCTGCACTTTGGCGCCGCCTTCGTCCAGCAGGCCTTGAGGGTAGTAGGGCTGGGTAGAAATTGGGCTTCGAGAATTTTGGTCTTCGAGGGTTTAGGGTTTAGGGTTTAGGGCTTCGAGGGTTTTGGGTTTAGTGTTTCTTCCAGGGCCTTCAAATGTTGTTGGTTCGCAGGTTGCTGATAGTGTTTTTGTTTTTCTTTCGGTGTCGGGTTTAGGGTTGAGGGGGGTTTTGGAGGAGGAAAGTCCTTTCTTCTGAGAAATGCTTTTCTCCTTCAGGAGTTTATAGAGCATCCGGCTTCCCAAGCTCAAAACCCTAAACCCTCAACCCCAAACCCCAAACCCTAAACCCTAAACCCTCAACCCTCAAATCCCAGACACCATTTCCGTGATTCGGCCTGAGGACTGCGCCCCTCGGACTTGGACTTTCTCCCGAGCCCCGAGCCCTCAAACCCTCAAAGCCTCAAGTTCTGAACCCTAAGCCCCTAAACCCTAAACACAAAACCCTAAACCCCTAAACCCCTAAACCCCTAAACCCCTAAACCCCTAAACCCCTAAACCCCCAAACCCCTAAACCCCTAGACCCCTAAACACAAAAACCCCTAAACCCCTAAACCCCCTAAACCCCCGAAACCCCTAAACCCCTAAACCCCTAAACCCCTAAACCCTAAACCCTAAACCCTAAACCCTAAACCCCCAAAACCCTGAAGCGGCCCCTCAGAGCCCAAAGACGCGACGCGAGGCGCGGCGAAACTTCCGCAAGTTTGAGCCGGGCGAGTTGCCCGGCCCTTAGGAACTAGGGTGTAGGGTTTAGGGTTTAGGGTTTAGGGTTGAGGTTCCTATTTTAGGGTTGAGGTTCCCTCATCATCCCCTTAAAACCAAAAAGGGTTTAGGGTTTCTGGTATTCCTAGCTTACTCCTGGGTCTAGGGAAGGTGCCCAGCCCTTAGGAAGCTGCCTCTGCGTTGTGGAAGCCCTGATTACGGGGTATAGGGTTTAGGGTTTAGGGTTCAGGGTTCAGGGTTCAGGGTTTAGCGTTTAGGGTTTAGACTTTCGAAGCAGATGTGCGAATCTACGAATAGCCGTGTGATGTCCTGCCGTTGTAAGCCGGGCACCGTTCGGGGATCAGGGACTTCCGTACGACAACGCGCAGACCGAAGCCCACCCCAAAAGTCCAGAGCATGCTGGTGATTCACTTGCAGGTTCATGGGTAGACGGGCTTCGGGTTCGCGCGCCGGCCCTGGTGTGAGGTCGAAGCGCCTGATCTACAACTCTCCCCTGTACTACACCGCGCGATTCCGGCAGCTCATCCGCTACTTCGAACAGAGCTACATCTTCTGAGATGCCGAGGCAGGGGCTGGGGTGTCCAGGGAGGCCCGAAGGCCTAGATGCCCAAAACCCCCAAATTCAAAGCCCAAGAGCCTCTGCCCTCAGAGCATGGTGGAACCCCTTAACCCCCTAAACCCTAAACCCTAAACCCTAAACCCTAAACCCTAAACCCTAAACCCTAAACCCTAAACCCTAAACCCTAAACCCTAAACCCTAAACCCTAAACCCTAAACCCTAAACCCTAAACCCTAAGATGCTCAAGGCCTGAAAGCCCCCAAGCCGTCCTAGGCCGCCCTCAGGCATCCTCAAACCCTGTCAAGGCTCCTATGCACGAAGGCTACAGGCATCTCTAAGGGTGAGGTAGTGTGTGCAGAATTGGTGTGTATGTATGTATGTATGTATGTATGTATGTATGTATGTATGTATGTATGTATGTATGTATGTATGTATGTATGTATGTATGTATGTATGTATGTATGTATGTATGTATGTATGTATGTATGTATGTATGTATGTATGTACATATATGTATATTCATACTATAGATATATACAGATAGGTGTTACCCCAGACATGAATATGTGAACCTATACCCTTGTACGTATATCTACACCTATCTATCTAGCTATCCATTTCTCTATACCTTGCAAGTTTTCTCTCTTTCTCTCTCTTCCTGTCTTTCCATCTTTCTATCCTTCTTTCTATACAGATATGTAAGAAAACAATAAGTGTAACATGTATATTTTTTTAACATATATAATGAACAATAAGCCGGTTTAGGGCTTAGGGTTTGGAGGGTTAGGGTTTCTGTAGTTGTTGCTGTTGTTGCCGTTGCTGTAGTTGTTGCTGCCAATCGTGTTTTTGTGGAAGAGCTAAAAAGAACCCAACATGACGGGGCTCCGTACTTCAAACCCTGCATCCCTCAAAGCCGCAACTCTGCATTACCCCCCCCCCCCCCCCCCACCCGCACCCACCCCCTGCAAGGCCCATCTCCCAAGCACCCTAACCCCCAATTCCTAAACCCCTAAACCCCAATCCTCAAACCCAAAACCCCTAAACCCTAAACCCTATTGCAAGATGCCTGGAACCCTAGCTCCTAGAACCCTGAACCCGAAAACCCTACATATCGGCGTGAGGATCAAGTCCACCGTGGGGGTGCCACCCATGCCGTTGAGTGGCATTGATTTACGCTTTAAGGTTGCAGGGCTTATAGAGGTGTACTAAGGTTGGATGTTCCCACTTATGCTAACAGTCCTTAAAAGGGATTATGCGAGGGGTACTATAATCTCATTATGGGCTGTCATTATACCCAAGCTTTATTAAGGTTTCGCAGGGTTTATGGATTTTGTATGGGCTTTGGAGCCTTCTTTGCTCAAGGTTTTCGGGTTCAAAGTTGGGCTTCGGGCATGATCGTAAAGCTTATGATAGCCATGCTCGGAGAATATGAAGGTCAGAATACTATAAGCTACACTTCACTACTCCCATTCTAGTGAAATAGCCCTTTTTTATGTCCATCGGGCACTCTTGAAGTGCTGAGGCTTGGCGACAAATTCGGCTGTGAAGCCGCTTAGGGTTTAGGGTTTAGGGCGCATGGGGTACCATACAGTACAGCGGAGCAAGACGCTTCGCAGCTGATTGTGGCTGAAGTAGGTAGGTCTCAGGGAGATGTGGGAGCTGCGCTAAGTAGGGTTTGGGGCCCTGAACCAAAAACCCTAAAGCTTCAATGTCTGGGCGTGGGATTCTTCGGCCTGGCCTGATGTTCCCCACATGTAGCTGAGACCTGAACCATGGCGGGGGGGGCCAAAGTTGCCCCTTGGCGTTCCGATCGCGAGAGCCGCCACTCTTGACCGCGGGACGCGCGTTGAGCCCAGAACCGCAGAGAGCGCAACATGTGCAGGGCTTAGGGTTTAGAGTTTAGGGTTTAGGGTTTAGGGTTTAGGGTTTAGGGTTGAGGGTTGAGGGTTGAGGGTTGAGGGTTGAGGGTTGGGGGTTGAGGGGGTTGAGGGTTGAGGGTTGAGGGATTCAAAGAGGCGTCGCGGAGGGGTTTCTACTTGGTGCCATTCAACCCCAAAAACCCGAAACCCTAAACCCTAAACCCTAAACCCTAAACCCTAAACCCTAAACCCTAAACCCTAAACCCTAAACCCTAATCCTAAACCCTAAGCCCTAAACCCTGAACCCTGAATCCTACGCCCTAAGCCCTAAGCCCTAAGCCCTAAGCCCTAAACCCTCAACCCTAAGCCCTAACTAAGCCCTTGAACAGTAGGGGCATGGGACTCGTCGCAGTTTGCTGGAGGAGCGATCCCTCCAGTACCAGAGGACCTCGAAGGATGCGCAGAAGTGCCCGACCGAGATGCCTGATGTGCGGGCTGTGGAAGGTTTAGGGTTTAGGTTTCAGGGTTTAGGGTTTAGGGAACCCTGAACCCTAAACCCTAAACACTAAACCCTAAACCCTAAACCCTAAACCCTAAACCCTAAACCCTACATAAACTCTAAACCCTGAACCCCATAAGCAATTAAACGAAACTGCAAGCCAAGCTCTGTGTGTTTGGTTTCGAAACCCTCAACCGAAACCCTAAACCCTAAACCCTAAACCCTAAACCCTAAACCCTAAACCCTAAACCCTAAACCCTAAACCCTAAACCCTAAACCCTAAACCCTAAACCCTAAACCCTCAACCCTCAACCCTAAACCCTAAACCCTAAACCCTAAACCCTAAACCCTAAACCCCAAACCCTAAACCCTAAGCCCTAAACCCTAAACCCTAAACCCTAAAACAGATCACCAGGTGGTTCCCGCAGATCCACCGCATGAACCGTGCGGACCAGGTGAAGCGGCATGGTTAACTCCCAGGAGGGTTTTATGGGGCACCTGCAGACCCTAAAGGTAAACTAGGCAGCCGAGTTGGGGTTTAGGATTCAGGGTTCGGTTTAGGGTTTAGGGTTTAGGGTTTAGGGTTCAGGGTTTAGGGTTTAGGGTTTAGGGTTCAGGGTTTAGGGTTTCGGGTTTGGGGTCCAGGGTTTAGGGTTTAGGGTTTAGGGTTTGGGGGCAACTCCTAATGAATCGATTCAGCCCGAAGCCCTGCCACCCGTTTGAAAAAAATCTTCATATCCCTCATTGGCTTAGACCCCAACCCTGAAGGTAAGCTAGGTCTCGGATAGGGGGAACAGTATCAAACCCTAAACCCTAAACCCTAAACCCTAAACCCTAAACCCTAAACCCTAAACCCTAAACCCTAAACCCTAAACCCTAAACCCTAAACCCTAACTGGTTCATCGCTGCGGTTCCCGGACATTTGTTTTCTGGCGGTGCTCTGTATGAAGGGCTAGTGGGACGTATCTGCACAGCTTGTGCGAACCTCCTACGTCATAAAAGATAAACCCTAAGCGGCGGGAGCAGGGTTCAGGGTGTAGGGGTTAAGGTTTAGGATTTAGGGTTTAGGATTCAGAGATTAGGGAACCTCCGCAGCTGAAATTACCTCGCCTCCTGTTCTCGTGGCTCAGTGGGCGAATTCCCAAACATGTCCCGCGCCCCTGAGCCTGGACCCTAAACCCTTAAGCTCCCAAACCCTAACTAAACCCTTAAGCTCCCTAAGCCCCCTAAACCCCCTAAACCCCCTAAACCCCCTAAACCCCCTGAACCCCCTGAACCCTGAACCCTAAACCCCCAACCCTGAACCCTAAACCCTGAACCCTAAACCCTAAACCCTAAACCCTAAACCCTAGACCCTAAACCCTAAACCCCTAGATGCCATGGGCTTTGGGGGGAGATGCAGCTGGCTCGCCTTCGGTGTGCCGCGCTCAGAGAAGACCGGGGAGGAAAGGGCACGCGGCCTCAGCCTCGAAGGGCTTAGGCGGTTCAGGTTGGTTTCGGGTTTCGGGTTTAGGGTTTAGGGTTTAGGGTTTAGGGTTTGGGAGTTTGGGGTTTCGGGTTTAGGGTTTGGGGTTTAGGGTTTAGGGTTTAGGGTTAGGGTTTGGGGTTTAGGGTTTAGGTTTTGGAGTTTAGGGTTTAGGGTTTGGGGTTTGGGGTTTAGGGTTTGGGGTTTAAGAATGTCTGGGCGGTAGGGGCACAGGGGGGGGAGGGCCTTTGCATGGATTCGGGGCAGCTTGGAAAGTGCATCTCAGGGTGTGGAGGGCTTGGGGTTCTGGGTCCCAGGGTCCCCCTAAACCCTGAGCCCTAAACTTCCTAAACCCCTCAACCCTAGACCCTAAACCCTAAACCCTAAACCCCAAACCCTAAACCCTAAACCCTGAACCCTAAACCCTAAACCCCTGGGAGCCCCCCTTCCATGGGCGTGCCCGCTCTCGGCTCAAAAAGTCGCAGCCCCTGCGACCAAAGCGAAAGCCAACCTCGAAGGCCTCAGGTCGAAGGCCCCCCAACCCTGCGATCTCTCTGATCTGGGCGAGCTCAACCATGTACATACATATTTTTATATACGCAAATGTATATTCACATGTAGAGTGTGCATATACATACGCACATCTCCATAGAGGTACGTTGAAACAAAACGAAGAATCCACAGCTCAGATCGGCTCCCGGTGGAAGAGTGTCAGACGTGCGTTCCGGAGCTCGCCCAGAGGCTTTGCAGGAGGCCTTCAGCACAAAACTCTCAAACCCTACACTCCAAACCCCAAACCCCAAACCCTAAACCCTAAACCCTGAACCCTAACCCTCAACCCTAAACCCTAAACCCTAAACCCCAAGCCCTAAACCCTAAACCCTAAACCCAAAACCTTAGCGGCCAGCATCCCATAAGTCCTCCGCGACGGGAGTGGCTGGCCTCATGGATCTCGGCCGGGTGGCCTCATGACTGCTCCCGCAAAGGATGACAAGAGGAGCCTAGGGGGGCTTTTGGGGGATGTTTTTTTTTTTTTCCATGTTTTTTTTTTTTGGGGGGGGGAGGGAGTTTAGGCTCCTGCAAAGGATGACAAGAGGAGCCCAGGAGGGCTTCAGGGGGTTTAGGTTTTTAGTATATTTTTTTATACATTTAATTTTTTGTGGGGGGGGGAGTTTAGGGTTTGGGGTTTGGGGTTTAGGGTTTAGGGTTCAGGGTTGGGGCTTGGGGGTTCAGGATTCAGGGTTGCTTGGCCGAGTGTGCCCGGTGCCCTAAACCCCCCATCAACCCGCAAGGGGATTAGGGTTTAGGGTTTAGGGTTTAGGGTTTAGGGTTTAGGGCACTTGGGTCCAGGACACGTCCCGGGAGCCCAAGGCCCCTTAACCAACGGATGTTCACCTTATGCAAGGCCAAGCCGCGTCTGAACCCTAAAACCTAAACCCTAAACCCTAAACCCGAAACCCTAAACCCTAAACCCCAAACCCTGGCGTGATGGGGGCTTAGTGAAGGGGGAGGGTAGTAGAGCATGCCCGGGTTCAGTTTAGGCCTCAGAAGTCTCTGACACAAGAGGGTCAGAAAGGACGTAGGGTAGGTATGGTATTTAGGGTTTAGGGTTTAGGGTTTAGGGTTGAGGGTTTAGGGTTTAGGGTTTAGGGTTTCGGGTTTAGGGCGCTCGAACCGCTCGCGCTAGCTGAGGAAGCGAGGTGCTGAAGCTCTGTAGGTCAAGGCTCGGGTTTAGGGCTTAGGGCTTAGGGTTTAGGGTTTAGGGCTTAGGGTTTAGGGCTTAGGGCTTAGGGTTTAGGGTGTCGGGTTTAGGGTTTAGGCTGTAGGAAGCTCTGCGCAGGAGCGTCGTGATGAAGAAGTATGGAGCGATAACGCCCGGGCCCTTGGCTATACATTTCCCCCTAACACGCGAAGCCCTACTAATATATATATATATATATATATATATATATATATATAAATATACACATATACATGATGCATGACAGAATGCAAAGTAATCTCTGTGTATGTAAACTACGTGTGTTGTAGGTTATATGATACACTGCGATGTAATCTTAGTATACGTACATGATGTTTGTTTTAGGTTAAACCCTAAACCCTAAACCCTAAACCCTAAACCCTAAGCCCTAAACCGTGAACCCTGAACCCTAAACCCTAAACCCTAAACCCTAAACCCTAAACCCAGCCCAGCGGACAGCGCAGCAGCACGCCAGCTGAATGTGGTTTCAACATGGAGCAAACCGAGGAGCCGTAGACATAAATGCACAAGGCGGCATCAGGGTTTAGGGTTTAGGGTTTAGGGTTTAGGCTTTAGGGTTTAGGGTGGCATCTCAGGCACGACCCATCTGGTGGTCAGCCGTGCCAGACTGCGACCTCAATAGTGTGTTGCCTTCCGGGGTCGGGGTCACGAACTGCGACTATACGGTTGTTTATTCTGCGTAAAGTGCATATTACTTGGAAGTTCATTGGTACTTACAACCCCAATGATAAGGCTACTTCTAACTTACCCATGAACCTCCAATTATACATAACAGACGACATCAACAAGCAAACCCTAAACTCCCTGGAGCATACAGAAGCCGCGAGGCACGCACCCCAAAACCCTAAACCTTGAGCCCTAAGCCCTAAGCCCTAAGCCCTAAGCCCTAAGCCCTAAGCCCTAAGCCCTAAACCCTAAACCCTAAACCCTAAACCCTAAACCCTAAACCCTAAACCCTAAACTCAAGCCCCAGCCTCCCGAGGTCGCACACATACGACAAGGAAGGTGAACCTGTGGGTCAAGGAACCTACGGAACCGTTTGGAAGGCCGGGTTTCGGCTTTTAGGGTTTAGGGGTTTAGGGTTTAGGGTTTAGGGGTTTAGGGGTTTAGGGGTTTAGGGGTTTAGGGGTTTAGGGGTTTAGGGTTGAGGGTACACTGCATGCTGCTTCATGAGGAGGGGCCCCGCTCGCTTTGCGCATCCAAAGACAGATCTCAAGAAGGGCCACACCGCACCTGACCCATCATTCCCACAGGTACCGATGTAGGGTTTTCGGGTTTATTGCTATGTCGGAACAGCCTCGAGTTCTACATCGAGGCTGTTCCGACATAGCAATAAACCCTCAACCCTCAACCCTAAAACAACCTAAACCCTATCCCTCAACCTTAAAACCCAAGTGCCCGACCCTGCCCGAACCCCAAACCCTGTACCCGAGACCCTGAACCCAAACCCGAGAACCCTGATCCCCGAACCCTAAACCCCAAACCCCAAACCCTAAACCCTAAACCCCAAACCCCAAACCCTAAACCCCAAGCCCTGCAGCCCCCAGGGGCGTTGTGCCGAGACGAAGCAGGAAGTGGCGCTGAAGAAGGTGCAGGGTTTCCGGAGACCGGTTTTTTGTGCTTTAGCTTGGTGGCCCGGTGGTGCCCTTTTGCCCGATCTTGTTTTGGGTTCCAGGTTCCCGGATAAAGTAGCCAACCCACACAGAGCAACCCTAAACCTTACCCTAAACCCTAAACCCTAAACCCTAAACCCTAAACCCTAAACCCTAAACCCTAAACCCTAAACCCTAAACCCTAAACCCTAAACCATATGGTTACTGGGCTACTAAGCTCGGGCTTCGGGATTTGGAGCTTATGTTCTTGCCTTGTTTAGGGTTTAGGGTTTAGGGTTTAGGGTTTAGGGTTTAGGGTTTAGGGTTTAGGGTTTAGGGTTTAGGGTTTAGGGCATCTCTGCCGTTCTTGTTGGGTGTGGAAGCGACAAGCAAGCCCTAAACCCTCAACATTCGGACTCGTGCGGGACGGTTGCACTCAGTTTCCTGGAGGCAGTCGTTGGGTAGATCTGGAGCCTTTTGTCGTGTCTTCTGATTCGGGTACCTCCGTCTGCCTGTGTGGGCGAATGGACTCATTTGGTCCGAATTTGAGGGATCATTTCGTCCCAAAAGTGTGCCACTCGGGTGACGTCCCCTGTAAAACAGAAGATATTTCCCGGCCCGCACATCGAAACCCTA